CTGTGGCTGGGCTTGAACCCGCCACCTCTGGCATATGGGACTGGTGCCCTACCCTTTTGAGCCACAGGTGCTGCCCCACGTGTGTGTATTTCCATATGCAAGTATCTGTATGTGTGTTAAGGGAATATGAAAGGAAGATGAGAATTTAATAGAGTTCAATTGTAATAGTGTGTGAGGCAAAAGGGGCCCATGCTGCAGAAGATCTTCTGAATGTTCTGAAAGCTAAATTTATCATTTAAATAATTAGATTTTTTTTCATCTAGAATTTGGGACATGATTAAAGCAAGTTATTATACGTTTTAATTTTATCAGCGACGTGAGTCAGTGTTTGTTTCTCTGGGAACCTACATTTCTTAATTTTCCAGGAGCTTCAATTCTTATCCTCTGAGTGACTAGAGCTCTGTCTGATATCATGACTTCTCAGTGAGATATGTTCATAAAGTATTTAAAAGACAACCTTAACCCTCTCCATTCAGATTTCAGTTGTGTGCTTTGGGGTTGACTCTTACTTTGGCGATTGGGTTCCTCTTTGAGTTGTCTTCCCCTTCCCGACAGGCTGCCGCGAACTTGATCCACTCACGCTTCTGCCTTCTGATTGAATTCCACTTGATCGTGCCATTCTTAGTGTTATAATCTCTCACCTTGAATGAGTAGAATAAAGTAACAGTATCTCTTAGCTTCATTCATAACTCAGAGTCCACTGAGATTTTTAGAGGAGGGGGTAATTGTAATGTCAGAAAGGGAGGTTGTTGGGAATTTTGATAATCCATTAATTTTAGCATTACAGTAACTTTCTTTACTTACAAGAAGGAATTTTCTTTGGAAACTATAGTTACTCCAAAACCATTTTCTTTTTTAAAAATTTGGAAAAGAAAAGGATTTATTATATATTACCTGGACTCGGAATTCACAGTTAACTTCCACTACCACCTACGAAAAATAAGATAATCACAATAATTAATTTTTAATTGAATGCTCTAAAATTCATGGTATCCAACTATTTAAAAATATCAAACAAATACTTTGAATTAGAATTATTTCATCATTCTGAATAGCCAGTGGATCTTGTTTACCCCTAGGTCCTAATGATCATGCTAAAAATTTTTACTCTTACCTTTCAATTTTGCTCTTTTTAAAATTTTTTAACCTTTCCCCCCCTACTTGGGTAAGATATTTGAAGCCAGAACCCAGAGGAAATGAGGTTGGAAACTCAGGCTTTCTTAATAAATCGTATACCTGAAAAGCTAGAGATACTCTGATTCTCTTCAGTGACATTCAGCAATAAATACCAAGATATTCAACTATAATTTCAGGATCTGACTAGCCACAGAGAGAAATAGAAAAAAAAGTTGGAAGTGAAGAAAAGATATAAGTATAAAGATATCTAGAAAGCTTCGGAATATTTGCTCCTTCATATTCCAATTCTACATAGAAGATTTTTTTGTATTTTTTTTAAGGTGACAATTTTTTCATCTGCTTTGAATTATGAGAATTAAAATTTCTAAGAGAAAACAATTTCCTTTATGTAAAAATGAGCTCATATTTGATGTTTTATTATTAGCAATAAACAAAATAGATGATGTAAACTTATCCTTCTGTAGCAAGGAGAGGAAATTGCAGGAGTATAGGAAAAAGTTATTGGGTTTGCAATTTCCATTAATGGTTTTTTTTCTCCTGCATGAAGCAATTTCATGTTTAACAAGTCAAACAAATATGCTAGTGAAGAAGAGCTTGAAAAATCAGGATAATTTTAATTATTTTCTGTAAAAATCACAGACATTTCTAAGGACAAAGGTGTTATATATTGAGTTTACAATGATACAAATATCCATATACTTGTTCAAAATGTCATAAGAAAATTATAATAGTTTGCCTTTAAAAATAGTAATAGTGGTGTTTAAAAATATAGCAAAATCCATCAAATATCCATTAAAAATGAGGTATAGATTTGAAGTCTAATTTGCACTTGTTAAATTTTAAATTGCACTTAGCATTAATTAAAGATGGTGTAAATCCTTAGTTTATCTTTCTCCCTAAATAAGAAATTTTCAACTTCTAATTGAAGTTTCTTAGAATTGCATAGTACAAAAACCATTATCATTAGGCTTTATCTAGATCACTGATATAAGAAAATAATAGTTTGAATTTAAAAATAGTAATAATAGTTCAACTGCAATCAGTGTAACTTAATTCTTTGTACCCTCAATGAATCCCAGACAATGAAAAAATAGTAATAATAGTAATTTAAAAATATAGCAAATTTCTTTTTATAGTTGATTGCAATTTCACCATAAGAGAAAATATAAAATTCTGGGTTCCAAGTACATATTTTAAAAAATTGTCACAATTGGCAATTTAAGAAATATGTATTTATGGCTAGCATGAGTAGTGTAAAAAGATTGTTTTTATTATAGGAATTACATACTCATGATATCTAGTATTAATCATTATGATTATCACTGTTATAATTTATCAAATGATAACTAATACTAGGGAATGTGTTTAGAGAAATCCATGTATTCGATCTTTGCAACAAATGTATGTGTTCACCACTACTATTATGTCCATTTTACAGATGAGAAACTGAGGCTTGAATTAATATTTACAGCTAAATATAATCCAATGCAAGGCAGCATCAATTTCTGCTTGAGTTGTGGGGTTTACAGTACATATAAGACAGCTGATTCCCTCAAGTAAATTACAAAGCAAAGCAGACTGCAAAGAATTGACATGACAACTCTGAGAACTCAGAAAATTCTGATTTTCATCTCATCGTATATTATCCTTCTGACTGGGAACTTTTATATACAACAGTAGCGGTACAGAGCAAGGAGAAAAAGAAGGAAAAGTAAATGGCCCCAGTGGGTCATCTGGCCGAGTGTCGTCTGTAGCGTCCATCGCGGGTGCAGGACTGAAATGATGCAAACACACACTCCTGCTCCCTGTGTGCTTCAGAGCCCTTTGCTTCTCTCTCGTTTGGGAATGTGGGATAGAATTGAGGCTACTTCATTAGTCTGTGTGGAGGTCATTTCTTCCCAGCTGCATCTGTTATCTGCTACTGCCCTTCCCTCACTCAGCGAAGCGTCCCTGTCTGCTGTTTGTTTTGGATAACTATGCCAGATGACTAAGAGGTCTTTCCAACTTTATGAAGCTGGGTCATTCTTTTTCCCATGAGAGGCAACTCAGGCAGAAGACCAAGTAGGTTTCACCATAGTGTCAGACTCTCAATTGGACTGGTAATTAAAAAACTGCCAAGTCTGCTTAAAAATTTGGTCGGTTGACCTAAGCTTATTTTCTTTTGCTCAGCGTCTAGAATGAACTCTGAAACAAAATCACTCCTGGACTTCCAAAGGTAAAAACAGTAAGATAAAAAGAGCCCTTGATAGAGTCAGAAGAACTGCAGGTATTTTTTAATTTCTCTCATCTTCTCATGTGTGAAATACCAGGAGTAGACTAAGTTACAGACGTGCACAGGTGACTTTCCAGTTCTAACGCCAAATCCACGTGTACAGTAGAAAAATGTTGAAGTATATCATGGGAATGTCATGATGAGGGTTTAGGTTTTTAAAAATTATTCTGATGGTTTCTGGGCAAGGTGGGAAGGGGCAGCGATTACTGGCTGTGAGTAGTTTTGTGAGGCTCTTCCTAGCGGTGAGAAGGAAATAAACAGGACCAGAGGCAGTGGGAACAGCCGGGGAAGCTGAGGAAAGGGGACGCGGTGTGGGTAGGATTGGCAGGGCGTGAGAACAGATGGAGCAGGGGAGTCAAGAGAGGAAGGAACCTTAGGGCATGGCAGGTTTAAACTGTGGGACTGGGAACAGGAGAGAACAGAACTTAGCACCTTAGAACACTTTGAGGTTGAGAAGCCAGAGAAGCATCCAGGTAAAGATGATCAGTGCTTTGAAATGTGCATCAGCATTTTGAGCAAAAAGTTCAAGATGGATATGAAGATTTGAGGTACGTTTGCTCAGGAGGAAAAGGGAAATCATGGGAGCGTCTGAAATTCCTAAAGTAGAGGTGACAGTGAAGAAAGAGACATGGCTGAGGGTAAAACTGGGGAATGCCTACATTTACATAACTGGGAAGAAGGGCAAAAACAAGAAGAAAAACAAGAAAAAGGTGAGAGAAGCAGTGGCCAAAGGAACAGTGGTCAGAGGAAGGGGAGATGGGAAGACAGGTGGGGGTAAAAGAATGTCAGATGGTGTTTTGAAAAGTTGAGAGAGGGAATCCTGAGGAAATAGTGAGGTCTTGAGTGACCTTCAAGAGAATATTTTCAGTTAGATATAAAACATTTGCATGACAGGGATTAGAGAATAAGGAGGACGAGGATATAAAAATGGTCATTTCTGGGTGGCACCTGTGGCTCAAAAGATTAGGGCACTGGCCCCATATGCTGGAGGGTGGCAGGTTCAAACCCAGCCCCGGCCAAAAATAAATAAATAAATTTTAAAAACAAAGATGACCATTTCTTCAGGAAATTGTTGATTAAAAAGCCCTGGAAAAACAAGGTGGTAGAATAAGATGCAGCATTTGATATTTTTGGGGGGAGAGGAGGCCTGTGGATTTTTGAAAGTTAAGAAAGAGGGGAGGAAATTTTGGTTTAAAAGAAGAAAGATTCAGAAAGAAGATATTTGATTAAGGTGTGATGGAGAGAGAAAGAGAATAGTCAGGAAAAGAAAAGACTTCCAAGGCAGAAGAAAGGAAGAGACGAAGGTTGGAGGTTAACATCAACCAATGAAGGAGGGAAATTCAAGAACATTGCCCTAAATGACCTAGACCTTGCCCCTGGACTAAGGGTGAGGTTATTTTTCTGGCAATTAGGGGAGTAGTTTGGATTCAGAATAAAACTAGGAAGTGTGCAATGAAGCCTGTCATGAAGATTCACTTAGCGATGAACGCAGGGGTTGTCAGTGTGGCTGAGTCTATCTCAGCAGTGCATGTGGGTGCTGGGGTAAGTTGCTGAACTATGCCTCGATTTTCTCATCTGTATACGAGTCTAGCTGCTTCTTTGAATCCTAAATCCTATGAAAACAGTAAATAATTCATCTAAAGTACATTCTTGGTGAGTCCTTCCTTGCTCTCTGTTTTAGGAGCCAAACCATTTTATTTTTTAAAAGCCATAGGGCACAAAATTGCACGCTAATTTTAATGATTTCGTAATTACAATCAGTTTTAGTGTTTTTTTCATACTGAAGTACAGATTTCTTTGCATATTATAAAAATGGACTTGAGAATAGTAAGTAACTTTTATAAAAAATGTCTCTTGCATTGGGTGGCAGCTGTAGCTCAAGGAGTAGGACGCTGGCCCCATATACCAGAGGTGGTGGATTCAAATCCATTCTGGCAAAAAAAAAAAAAAAAAAAAAAAAACCTGCAAAAAAAATATATATATATATTTCTTGCATTTAATAATTGTGAGATGGTCTTCCTCAGTCATTTGGTAGTTCTTATTAAGTATTAAATTCAAGTGTATTTGTTAACTGTTATATCCATCACAGGATGAACTTGAGAGAAAACTAAAATATAATAATTTGCTTCTTTCTAAAAACCTCCCCTTTTGTCTTTCCTTTGCACTGTTCTGGCAAAGGGTATCAATCTGGGCTTGAGAACACCTCCAGGGATCTCACTGGTCTGTTTATTTATTTGCTGTCTCTATGGAATGAGTAGAATGTGGATCTAAGGCTGGCAGAAGCCCTAAAAATATTACAGTAAGCTTTAGATGAAACACAAAGTAAATGTGATACTATGCCATAAAAATATTAGGGAATCCAACGTCCACGATTATTTCTATGTTTAACACCTTGATAATTTTTTGGAATGAACAGGGGAAGAGAAAGAAACAAAAAGTTTCCTTCTGGTACATCTGCTGCATGGGATTAGACATGCGTTGTGTAATTCTGCGTTGGAGCAAGGCTGTAGGAGGAAACAATGTGAATATGCCCCAGAGTCTGTCTTCAGTCTTCAACTCTACAGTCAAGTTGTTCCATGAGCACTGGGCAGCCATTGATTTGTGGAGGTATGGCTTCTCATTAGACAAGGGTCAAAGATTGCACTTTATTTTCATAGACCAATTATAATAGCATGGGTTAGCAGCCCATGATATTTTTAAAAAAATGGATGTAAGTCTATTAAGCAATTTGTGTGGCAAGCATAACCAGTGAGGGTGGTGTGACCGCACTCCATGAGGCTCTGTGAGGGTGCTCCTTCAGCTGAAGGAGCATAGTCACCCTAACTGTAATGCCAATGTGGTGGCTCCCTGCTGATGTGTTAGGACACAGGAATAATCAGCAAGGATGTCTTTGTATGTACATGACATACAAAGTTCGTGAATTATGTAATAAAATAAACACCAGTTTTTGTGCAATTTAGCCTGAGCACTGAGAAGTACTCTGAAAATCACCTGCTCATAACCTAAATAATTTCAGCTAAGTTCAGATTGTGAAGTTAGTTTATCAGGTGGTCAGAGGGATTTTTTTGAAATGAAATATTAAGCCACAGAAAGAGGGGGGGATCTGTTAGGATGATGAACTGAAGAAGTCACATCATCCATGGTAATGGGTAAAAATCATTTTCTCTGTTCTTTGAGTTTGAGCTACAGAAGTTTATGTTAACCGAAAGTGATGTCTTCAGATTTTTGCTTGGTTTGAATGGACTAATTGAATCTGCTGAAGTTGCAAGCAATATTTGGAAATTATTACAACCATACACATTCCACTGGCTCTAATTTCCTCAAAATGGTAACAATGTACTCTTTACTTCTCACACAACCACCCACACAGATTTCTTATATTTAGTGTTTAAGTTACATTGTTCTATGGCGTAGAGAAAGTGCTTTCTAACTCCTCCCTTCCTCACTCCATACGCTGATTATAGAGAAGAAAAAATAGGAAGAGAGAGAGAGAAAGAAAAAAAGGAAGGAAGGAAGGAAGGGAGGGAGGGAGGGAGGGAGGGAGGGAGGAAGGAAGGAAGGAAGGAAGGAGAGTGAATGAAGTGTACTTGGCTTGCCCATGTAAGCTCTTGTCTGTCCAGGAGGCTTGTCTGGGTAATGGAATGGCCATGAAGCAATCTTGGACACTATAGGAGCAGCTCCTAAGCTTCATTCTTCCTGATTCAATCCACTCACTGGAACAAGGTCTAAAACCTTAAACAGACCACACAACTTGCTTATAGTTCCCTGGCTCTCAAACAAATTTGCTTAAAGGTTATTACCAGTGTAACTGTCGTAGAGGTCTTAACAATTGCACAAATGTGCTTCCTAACATGAATTTTCCCTTATTGACTTTGAGCTGAGATGCATAAAAAGACTTCACGTGGATTTTTTTCTTGTTTTGGTAAAAGCAAGCTTTTATCAGGAGACTAGCAGCAAGGTAATTGGAAGCATTCGCTGTAGTGGTGGTGGTTTTGTGGAGGAAACGAAGTATTTTAAAAGAAAAAACAGATTAGGTAACTCCAAAGAACAATTATCAAAATCACCCGGTAAAGTTGGTAGTTAAAATAAATTATGTTCTATACTTGACAATTTTGCCATAATAATCAAGGAAATGAAGGCTATGTTGATTGGTTTGATCTAACTAGGTCAGATTGTAAAAAAAAAAAAAATCAGCACATTGTACCCCACTTATGCATGAATGTATTCATGACCTATATGTATTTGACTTAATAATAAAAAAAACCTTCCAGCTTTCCAATCTTACATCTTCTAATAATGTAGTCTGCTCTTCTACAAGAAAGTTTAGCAAAGCAGATTTTGTTTCGGATTAGGATAAAATAAATAAATAAATAAACTATGATCTGCCAAACCTTATCAAGTGAGATGTTTTACAAAAGAAGTCATGATAGGGTGGTGCCTGTGGCTCAAAGGAGTAGGGCACTGGCCCCATATGCTGGAGGTGGCAGATTCAAACCCAGCCAAAAAAAGAAGTCATGATATCATGTGAAAATGAACCATTATAATTCATTGTAGTGTAATTTCCTTGGGAAATATTTTTCATAAGGCAGATGAGAAACTTGTGATTCCAATATAAAATATGGTAGCCCCCCCACCTCCGCCCTTCTCCTATAAACCAATCCACGAACCAACAAAATAACTATTCAGGCTCAGAAAGTAAAATACGAGTGACCAGGAACCTCTCTCAATAAAGAGAAAGTTCAATAAAGATATAAGATTTCCATAATGATACAGTTTCAGGAAGAATGACTAAGTAAGAGGTGGTTACTTAAAGGAATTTTACAAGGTGTACTTAATTAGAAATAATCACATAAATAAAAGAAGAAAGCATATGTCATAGATTCCATGGAAGTTAGTGCATAAGCATGTGAACAAATTAATCAATTGAAACTATAATAATGGATCAAATTTATATGAAATTAAGAATATAAGTATTAGATGGCTGGCAGTACACAAATGCTCCTGTGTTCAGATGACATGCATTTGTAGTGTTCATTGATCCCTGCTACCAACTGAGTTATGGTATCTACTCCCCCTAAAGATCCATGAAAAATCCTTGAAATAAAAGTAATGTTTGAAGGACCACAGGGATCTAAAGCCACCAGCTTTACTGATGCTCATTGTAAATAAATCCGCTGATTATGATCCATCCGAATTAGTAAACTGAATCCAAACTATCCAACATTCCTTGAATCAAAGATCTGACTTGTTATTATACGAGTCCAACATTCCAGCCCCAAAATTAAGCAAGTAGAAACAAATGTGAACCAAGCAGCTCGTCCTGCCAAGCGAGAGGGCAGTTTATCTGGCACCTGCTTTCTTTGGAAGACATCAAACTTCCTGAGAGAGAAATTACGATTTTCAAATATTCACCGAAAGTGAAACTGACGTAATATGTTAGTGTCGCATGTAGTATTATCTCTACAAAGAGAAAACTAATAACATACAAGGGGAACAATGATAAAACACTATTACATTTGTCTGACCATCAAATGTAGAACTTTTATATCATAGTCATCACTGACATTCCCGTAGTCACAAGTACGGTAATAATTACACTTACTCTTTAATTATAGCCATTCCTTCAGCTAATATGTCATTTGTAAATCTCTTATACTGCCATTTTTTTTTTTTTAGAAACTAATAATGTTGTTTTAATAAAAGTGTAGTTAAATAGTGTGGGGCTTTTGATAGTTGTAGAATGAATGCTAACCACACATAGAATTCATTATTTGCATAGTGAGGCCAGTCACAGACTGCTATGATTTTAATTTATACGCATACTATTTTTGTGTTTGAAAAATTATAGTGACGCCACCAAAAAAGATACCGAAGGAACGGAAAAATATTTGGGTCAAAAATCAAGACATACCTGTGATATTTAGTTTAAAAGCCCCCCTGCCAAAGAGGTTTTGAACAACACAGTGCTATTGAGTAGTGATGGGAGTTTTCTAAATTCACTATTTTCCCAGCACGACTTGGCAATGCCAGCGTTGTGATAGGACGAGTTGACACTGATGCATCAATGTGAACTTGAGTCTTCAATTAAAGACAGAAACACTGTTCAAAAATCTAGTCCATAAAATCACCTTGTCATTAACGTAAACTTTTAATGAGTGTAGGTTAGAAATAACACAAACTACCATCTTTTTTAAAAAGCTCTTCCTCATTTACAGCTCTGAGGATGATGAGGAAGGCTTCTGAACAGAATCCACTTACCAGAAAAAGAAACAGCACAGCAGCTGTTCTGAAGAAGCTCCAGTCCATGGCTGCTGGGTTCTCTTACATCCAAGACCGAGGAGTTTTGTTTGTTCTCTGTTCCTTTTCTTTCTCCCACTCAGCTGGTGTGTCTGATTAAAATATTTTCGCAGAAGATGTTCTTACATGCAGGCTTTGAGGTGTTTCTGCCTTCCTCCGGGAGAAGGACTGAAGGTACGTATAACCAGTCTAGATCCCCACCCTAAAAACTTGGGCTGGTCTCACCGAAATGCTTGACAAGATCATCATTGCTCCCAGGTAAAAGCTTAGTGACACACCCTTCTTCCAGCTGAAAAGCAAGTCACTATCAGGCCGGGGAGATTCTCTCCCTCACCGAGGATTTTCAGCGGCAGGCACTGACAGTCACCCAAACCATGGAGGCTTATGCGGTGCAGGCTTCTCACCCTGTGTTTTATTTACAGATTGTTTAATTTTTTCCCATGTGAAAAAGGCAAGTGTAATTCAGAGGATTATTCAGTCTGGGTTCATAGGTCACAGTAGAAAATTAGAAACTTTCCATTTCAGTAGATGTTAGAAAAGATTCAGTTAGTTTTAGTTGTTAAGAGAGCAGAAGTTTGCTAATGTTGAAAGTGGGGATTTTTTAAAACTATATTAATCCAAACAACAAAACTATGATACTTATTAGATCCTCTGTGTAAACCACATTCCTTTAAGCGACCAGACTAAGAACAGGAAATTCTTTTTCTCTCCAAATGAACATTTTTCACCCTCATTATTGTTCTTTCTTTAAGATCCTTTTTGAAATGCAATAAAATACAACTTAAAATCTACTGAGCCTGATTAAAAGGAAACAATAAGAACCACAAATTAAAATCCTGTTGATAATTTTTAAAATGAGATTCAGCGGCTGAACGACTAATGGAAATGCAGAAAGCCGCCCTTCAGGTGAGGTGGGTTAAAAGTCAGTGAGGACTCCCAAGCGCAGAGCCAAGAATCTGTAGAGTGAGCCAATTAGGACTTAGGGAATACGCTGAAGAAATGGTTGCCCACACACGCAGACTGGAAACAGAATGCAGCCCTGCGGTATGTGGAATGATCAGTGACCTTCCCAAGGCAGAGTTTGAACACACTTGGGATATCGTCTCTCCACCTGGCGGTGTCTGGTATAAACACTGTGAGTGGCAGAAAGCCTGTAGATGCTGGATGTTGTCAGAATTTGAAATGGCAGTCTGCAGCAGGAGACCTATCTGATGAGATATTTATATAGTCGAAAGGACACTAAACACATTGCTAAAAGAAAGACTATCTCTGCAGATTAGAGGGTCTTGAGAATGCTAATCATTCCACTGTCTGTGTGTGGCAGAGATTACTCTACAGTGGTTTGAAATTTCATGTTATTCATCTTATGACACATAGAGGGGAGATGGGCCGCTATATTTACTCACAGCTAATGTTTATTATTGGAACTGGTTGGTGTGAATCAATAAAATCGCAGGTGATGGACAGACCACGTTTCTCCTTAGTCAAGTAAAGTAGAGTGTGAGTGTCAATGTATGACTTAGTCTGAGACATGTATTAGTGGTAGGATTGTCTGACCACAAATGACAGAAGACTCACCGGGTATCAGAAACGAGAGGACGTATTCTTGCAGCTTCCCAGTGGCAGGTCAATGTTTTACCCACCTCGGATTCTGGGCATGATGCTAGGGCGTGCACAGGCCCTTCCCATCCATTGAGTTGCCCTTCACAAAGCCCAGGCCTGGCTCCACCCCTCATTCAATGCCCAGCTCCAATTAGAGGCTTCATAAGGCAGCAACCCCCACAGCAGCTTTCTGCAGAGGTGAATTAGACTCCGGGGTGGCAGAGAAGTGTCTGTCTTGAAATCCCATGAGAGCTAGTGACATTAGACGTAGTGGGACAGGGAGTTTATGAATCACCCTCCTCCTTTGCTCCTTGCCTGCCTCTTTCTTTACTCATGTTACTCATTGTCCTTAGACCCATGCTGTCCGATAGAACTTTCTGCAGTGTGAAAATATTCTCTATCTGTGGTGTCTGGTACAGTAGCTACATATTCTATGTGGCTCTCAAGAATCTAAAATGTGGCTAGGATGACTAAGGAGCTGAATTTTTTTTTTTTTTGCAGTTTTTGGCTGGGGCTGGGTTTGAACCTGCCACCTCAGGTATATGGGGCCAGTGCCCTACTCCTTGAGCCACAGGTACCGCCCAGGAACTGAATTTTTAACTTTATTGAAGTTAATTTAGATTTACATAACCATATGCCGCTGGTGGCTCCCACGTTGGCCAGCACAGGGGTTAGACTAGTGTTTCCTTGTTTATCTTCTATCTCACTCCAAGCCCTAACCCCCTCTAATCTTCACACACGCAACTCTCTGTAATTTGCCTTTTCCCATCTGGGTGACTCTGCCTTTGTCTCAGTTTCCAATGAGCACCTTTTAGTTCCCTTCCCTTTGTGTATTATTATCTCATTGGTCCAGTCTCTTCTCCTCACTCCTCCTGCTCCTTTCTCTTAATGCCAACGAGTTAAGATCCTTGAAGACACAGGAAACACAAATCCCGCTTATTTCTGTTTTCCTATTTTTTTCAATTTTTTCTGCCAGCAGCCTCATCTGTAACCTCACGCCAGGCTGTTGCGTTTCCTGCCTGGTCTCAGTGATTCTACCGTGAACATCGTTCAGTACACGTACCTCTGTGCATATAGACAGTTATCTTTCATAGACATTTTATAAAATTGGAGGTATTTTTTCTGTCTGGAATTACCCTGGTGAGAAGACAAAGTTTCCCAGAGAGATCAAAGTTCTCCAGAGAAGGGGATTTTCCTCTTTTCCATCCTAAATGTCTGCCTTTTTATACTTGCTCAGAGATTGGAATAAAGTAATACCTCCTTGCAAGACAAAGTAATCTGCATCTTTAAGGGATCAATTTTATTTTCCTGGAATTTCTAACCCTAATAACAGGAACTGACTGTGTTAGCCATCTCTGTTTACACGGAGTCCACAGCATGAACTCATCGTTGGGGTTCAGGTGATGTTTTGATACCTGTAGATGATGTATCGTCATCAAATCAGGGTAATGGGGATGTCTGCTACTTCAAACATTTATCTGTTATTTATGTTGGAAACAGTACACTTCCTCTCTTCTAGTTATTTTGAAATATACAATCAGTGATTGTTAACTATGCTTTTCTGTTATGTGTGAACCTCTGGTTTTATATCTTATTTGTGTGTCTAACTTACCCTAATCAGCTCCACAAATTGTTTAAAACTAGGTGAAAGATAAAAACGAAGCTTAAATTGAAGAAGAAATTGAAGTGCATATGCCAAGGATAATATAAACAAGAATTTTTGTATCACCTCTATATTGTATTCATGTTTCTATGACATGCATTGGTTCCATATCTTGTTCACGTTATTTAAGGTTAGACTATTCCTCAGGGAGTCACACCCATAAACAGGTCTGAGGGATGGGGGCTACTTTAGATCAAAAGAGACTTTTCTTTTTTCATAAATAACAAATGCCAAGTCTGATGCTTAACCCGATTCTTGGCTTGAATAAAACAGCTATAGAAGTAATTTAGGGGATATCTGGAGAAATTTAAATACAAACTGTAAGGGAATTATATATTTTACCAAGTTACGTAATATCATGTCTTTATGTCTTTACAAATTTGTGCTTAATTATGTAGGACTGAAATCTCATGATGATGAATTTGTGTTTTCAGCAATAAAACAGAAAATAAATATGGCAAAATATTAAATCTAAATGATAATACATGGCATTCCCTCTGTTTTGTGTATATTTGAAAATTTTTATAATGAAAGTAAAACTAATGACTAAAGTAGGGGGTTGGCAAATTATGGCCATGGACCAAATTGGGCCCAGTGAGTTATTTTTTTTTTTTTTAATTGCGCACAGCCACCGTCATTTGCTTCTTTATTCTCTGTGGCTACTTCCACTCTACAACAGCAGAGCTAGGAATTTATGCCAGGGACTCTGTGTCCTGGAAAGCCTAAAATAATTACTTACTTGGCCCTTTACAGGAAAAGTTTGCTAATACCTGGACTACATGAACAGATGATAGTTCATATAGCCCAGGTATTAACTAATGAATCATATCATAGTACAAGATACGATTCATTAGTTAATTAGTTAATTTTAGGAGAATCCACAAAATACTAATTCTAGCTGAACCTCCAGTGTGTGTTCATCTCAGGGCTAGGCGCTGCATTCAGAAGAATCTTGAGCTCTGCCTTTAAGAAGATTACGTTTTAGGTACAAACACAACAAAAAGAAGTATCACCACTCCCATCTGGAAGACTGTGGTAGTCACACTCTCAGGTAGTAGCTACTACACTATAGTGTCTGTACTTCATGTGTAAAGAGAGTGCATTGTTTTACTTATGATAAATTATCATCAGTTTGGTTCTAGAACATGTATTTTTTTGCCTACTATGTGCGTTGTGCTCTACTAAGGACTGGGGTTATGAAGGTGGATACAATATGGTCCTTGACCTCATGTGGCTCCAGAATACCCAGAATGGGAAAAACAACAGATTTTTTTTCCCCCAAGTTGCTGAATAGAAACATGCAGAAGATGGTTTGGAGACCCTGAGCCCAGTTTTTTTTTTTTTTTTTTTTTT